AATTATTCGACTAAGAATCAATTATACATTTTAAACAAGATGTTGAGCAAAATTATCACCTTATTTTTATTGCATCATAACTGTAAAATTTCAAATTCAATCAGGTTGTAGTTTTCTGACACAAAAATTATCACATTTTGACACATCATAAAAAATATTCCATTATCACAGAAATAATAAAAGTTTTATTTTATGAATACAATACCAGTCCTTAAAACAATTTCAGTTAATTGATTCTGACAGCTGTTGACATTGTGTAAAAACAATTCTAGGTATGAAGTATTATGGGTTTGTTGATATCAATTTAAGGTATTAATAATCCTTTTAAATCACAGAAACTTTTGAATATAATCTAAGAGTAAACAATAATTTAGAAAAAAAAAGTTTGAGGCATGTTTAAATTTTACATTTCAAAAGCTCAGACTTTACAAAGTGAATTTAGAAAGTGACTTTACAAAGACAGAAAATACTTTTCTTGTGATTTATTAATGTATAAGACAACTCTTGGAAATAAGACACTTATGGAAAAATCGGCCTAATTAATATGGATTTTTGTTTAAAATATTTACAGAAAAAATCCTACAAAATTATTTTAACGAATATAATTATATAATACGAAAATAGTAAACACACATTTAGCATTCTTTGATCATATCATGGCAAGTGCCAATGTGATTTTTCCGAGTCATATGTACTTTCTAAGAGTATTTAGACACCTCTGACAGACGGTAAAGGAAGACATCGTGAGGAAACCTGGACTTATAATTTCACAATTATAAGTTTGAATTCGCCATCCCGTCTTGAGCAAACGTGGTGATTAGTGCTCAAACCTTCTCCATGAGAGAAAGAGACCTTCGCTCAACAGTGGGCTCTGATAGGCTAAAAAAAGAGCCTAGCTGTGGTCATACTACAGCTCGAACATGGTCTGGCTCGATCGGGAAGTACCACCCTCTCACAGAAGTTCTGTGTGTAGTAGTCTTTAATGGCTGAGTTTCGTACGATGAGTGAGATAGCTGGTTGCCCGTTCTCAATTCCCACGCTTTCCTACCGTTTCCCTATTCCCACCCCTTCTTATTGATTAAAAAAAGGTTGGCAACGCATCCACAACATCTCTGTTGCGAATGTCCATAGGCGATGCTAACCTATTTTGATCAATTTTATTACTATGCAATACTTTGCCAATAAAATTCTTCTAAACCATGCAGTCGAGATAATCACATCGACAATAAAGGCATATAAACAATTTTTTAGATTCATATGAATAATGAAAAGTATCGCATCGCATATCTTATTTTCGTTATGGGGTTATAGATATTTTTAAATCACAGATATATAGGAAAAGTTAAGCCATCTGTAGCTCAAAAACTTTATCTGAAAGACGCGCTTTGATAGCAGAAATTAAAAAGATAAAAACCTTCCTGAGTTGACATGGTTTGGGCGTTTTAACTTTTTATATCCAACATAAGCGTGAAAATTCAATGGATATCTGTGCAAAAAAATCTCCAAAAAGGAAGTGGTATAAAAATTCGCGAAGACGTCATTAGCCACAGGCGTATTTTGATCAGGAAGCGGCCATCCGACTTTTATCGTGAACTCGCCATTTCAAATAATAAACCGGGATAACTTTCACAAACTACAGTTTTATTTACAAAATTAAGGAATTTAAAATATTATGTTTAGAAAAAATATTGTCAGGACTGATGTTTATCATAATTAATATGTACACAGTATTTCATAAAATAATATAGAATATTTTGTAATTAATTACCTAGTATATCACAATTGTCAAATTAAAAAATGATTAACATAAATATTATTATTAAATAATAAAAAAATTCAGTCAATCAAAAACATTTGACATTTCAAATACTAATAATGGAAGTCCTAATATTAAAATGCTAATAACGCGGTTGGTTTTTGAAGGCCACCGAATCGATTATCGCGTCTGTGAATACGACGAATTCGTAGAATAATTCAGTTGATTAGAATACCGTGAAACCCTTTGCGAATTTAACAATGGATGTGGATATAACGGTTCACTTAAATCGTGATGATGCACGTGCGTAATAAGTAACGATTTTCCCCGAATTACATTGTAACCTTTTTATTCGAAACTTAACAATAGGTAAAAGTAAGTTTTTACACATTTTACCGAAAGCAATTAAGTAATAATATAATTTAGCAATGTAAAAGGTGTTGCAATTATTTAAAAAAACATATTTACTACTTGAATCTCCTCTGCCCGTGATCTCGATTGTTGTAAAGAAACCGAAATTTGGGGATTATGTACAATAAACTTTGTTTCATTTTTTATCATTTTATATCAATAAAGCATTCTCCAAAATAACAACTACACTCTCATCTCATTATTTAATTAGAATAGTATTTCTATTCTTATTATGTCACTCCCTCTATCTCAGAGACAAAGCTAAAAAGTCACCCTTATTTATAAAGAGAGTCTTTAAAAGGTTCTTTACAAATTCAGGTTTATTACGAGCCCATAAACTGAAATTAAAAACCTTTTATAAATTTTAATATAAATTGATTCCTATCTAAATTTTTTCGTATGTCAATCACGAAAATATGATCTTATTTCTCGTCTCATTTTTTAATTACTTATCATTCAATCATGTATCCACACATTTGTGAATAATTTTACACACCAACATTTTAGTGCGTAAAATTTTTGACATGTTATATACTCGTACATCGGCGCTACCAGCTTTAATAACGGATGCGACTTGAAAATAATTTGAGGCTGTCATCAATTCTTATTAAACCTCATTAGTATTTATGATTATTGTTTAAAGTAAAACGAAATCAAAAGTTGCTTAAAAGGAGAATAGAACTATGTTTAAATATTGTTATAAATATGACGTCTGGACGCACGACAGCAGAATTCAGAATTGAGATTTCAGTGTTGATTGAGTGCGAATCATTGAGATATGTGATTATTATTTTTACCTTCGAGAAATACAGGAGCATTAAGAACAATTGAAGTTTCATTTTAAAATATCATGGTCCGTTCTAGAAGAAGTGACATTTGTTACGTCAGCGAGGCTGGCGTCCCTCTCTTTGAAAACAACGAATGTGTAATAAATCCGATATATTATATATAAAGTTTTTTTTTCATCACCTCATAAAAAAATTAAGTATATATATTTATGAAATGATAGCGTATAAAGATATGAGTTTTCATATAATAAGGTAAGGTTTCAAGTTAAAATTTACAAACTGGGAAATAATCAATTATAAGAAATGAAAATATTTTTGTCAAAACCGCACACTCTTCATCAAATTTGCTTAGGTAGAGAGAGGAGCTTGGAAAGTGGAGGTGAGCGTTTAACCCGCGTTTAATAGGGGTTCCTCAAATCTACACCTGGATCGCAAGTCTCAAGCACTGGTGAAGGTCCTCTCCCTGCGACGCGTTAGACCCGGCACCCGCATGGTGAATCCATGGAATGCTGAGAGGATTCGTCTCTTCCTGTCTCAATGAACAAAAATATTCTCTTATAAAATAGTTCTTATATCTACACCTCTTACAGTTTATTGAATGCCATTATAAATTGAAATCCATATTTGAGATATACAATTTTGAATATAACAAATCGCTCTATATCTAAAATACAGATATTTTGAGGGAAAAACTCAATCTTTGACTCTCGGAATTCTGAACGGTTTACTATACGTAATCGTAGCATCACCTTTTCAGCCTCATATTAGGTTGGTGCGTATGAAATGTCGGATTCTTAAGTGTTTGTACAAAACTGCATATCTTTCCTCAAAAGGTGTTTATTCAATTAAAGTATGCTCCATTCGCTTCAATACACTTCTCCCAACGAGATTTTAAGCCCTAGATGCCTGTCTTAAAAAAATGTTGTTCTTTAGAATTAATAAACTCTGATATCGAGTTTTTAAGACTGTCTTCATTTTCATAGTGTTTGCCCCTTAAAAACAGCTCTAAATGCTTGAAAAAATGAAAAACGGTCGGCGAGAGATCCGGTGAATATGGTGGATGCTGCAAAACTTCATATTCTAGTTCGTTCAGTTTCACAATTGTTTTGTGCGATATATGCGGCCGAGCGTTGTCATGGAGCAGTAGTGGGCCACGCCACTTGTCCATCTTCTTAACCTTGCCAATCTCAGAAAGGTGTCTCAATATCGTTGTATGGTCAACTTTCATCCTGATAGCAAGTTCCGCTTCCACTAGAGCCTTCAGGTCATCATTCTTCACAGACGTTTTGGGTTTTCCGCGCGGCTCATTTTGCAGTGAAAAATCGCCAGTCCAAAATTTTTCGAACCAACGCTGCACTTTCCGATCGTTACCCGTATTCTCCGCAAACGCTTGGTTTATGTTGCGTGCAGCTTTTGCAGCAGTATTACCAAGTTTATACTCATATGAGAAAATGACGCGAATGTCGGTAGAATTCATATCGGCAATAAACTCAAAAGAAATAACAAAAAAGAAGACTTTCGAGAAAACCTATTTTGCTGAAATGAGTCTCTGGCAATGGACAATACGACTATGAATGAGGCTTTGCCAAAGACAAAAATATAACGAAAACAGGAAGACAAACGTCCGCATGTAAAGAGAATGCGACATTTCATACGCACCAACCTAATAGTTTTCATTCTTATGTCATTTTTTGAGGATAACATTAAAAGTTTTTATGTAAAAAGAGATAATAATATCATTTTTGGGTCGACTATATCCATACCAAATTTCATTCGGATTAGTTGGGTCGTTAAATTAAATATAGAACAATTTAATCAAATCGTGAGATTTTTTCTTCTTAAAATTTATGTACCTATCATATATACAAAAAATGTTCTTGTTAGTAAATAATAGACAGAGTTAGTATATTGTATATATCCTATAATTTTTAAATGCAATTAATTTAATTTGTACATCCTCAATTTTTTGCTTACTGCAAGCGAGATAAAAACTTACATCAGTAAAATTTTGATTTTGAATAATTTTATTATTCCAATTTATGTAGGTATTCAAATTAGGGGCATGCCCCAAGTGATATTCAGTACGTCCCCGTCGTGTGCCCTGGACCCCTTCCTGACCACCGTAACGGAGTGGCAGGTTGGGTGACCGAATCTGAATATCGAGACTTGTGGCTTTTGGAGTGTTTTCGCTGCGTTTTGTGCTGTCGGAGTTTACAACTTTGTACTACTCTCGCTGCTATTTGATCCTTTCCACTTGGTGCGCGGTAACGCAGTGGCCAGTGGGAGGTGACTACTTCGCTGATCTCCAAATTATATTATTTTCTGTGTTCGATCCCTTATTGACTTGGCTTGCCTACTGGACTTTGCTTCTATAGTGGTGTGGATCTTTTGAATTTGTATATAATATATTATAGTATTAGTGTAAGTAGTGTAGTATATTATAGTATTAGTGTGTAGGCGTAATATCAAAATATATATGTAAATATATTATATTTATTTATTACACGACGTATTTCATATATAAAATTATATTTAATATTTATTTACGTATATTACTCTATACAGTCACACTACACATTTATATATTCAACCTTGCGCTTCGGTACTGAATACTCTAGTCATACTTCGTGTACATTAACAGTCAAATATTATTAGTGTTTCTACGTCTATACTGGTGACCCCGTAAAAATAATGAGCAGTGATAGCGGAGACTCAGTGTACTCGCAACCAAGTACGCAACGAAAAATGTGCCAAAAACCAGGGCGTGGCTCAACCGTTCCGGAGGCGTCCGACATTTGCCGCGTTGGTGTCCGCATCCCGCCATTTTGGCCTGAGAAGCCGGCTATATGGTTCGCACAAATTGAAGGTCAGTTCGCTATATCTAGAATAACTGAAGACACCACCAAGTTCTACTACGTAATCGCTCAGCTCGACAACCTCTACGCTTCGGAGGTCGAGGATATAATTACTTCACCTCCAGAGGCGAATAAATATGACAAATTGAAGAGCGAGTTAATTAAGCGTCTGTCGGTGTCGAGAGAAAACAAAGTGAAACAACTACTTATGCACGAAGAGTTGGGAGACAGGAAACCATCGCAGTTCCTCAGACACCTGCAGCATTTAGCAGGTCCTGCGGTGCCTGAGGACTTCCTGAAAACAATCTGGACCAGCCGTTTGCGGAGCTCGATGCAGACCATCATCGCATCGCAGCCTACTCTGCCGATAGAAGCGCTAGCGGATCTAGCTGACCGGATTAACGACATCGCACCATCCAATCCTCAGGTGGCAGCAACATCCAGGTCGGAGTCCGCGTTCGATGTCATGACCAGACAGATAGCGGAACTCACCAAGCAAGTAAGCGAACTGTCTGCAAGAGTAAATCAAAGGCCCAGACATCGGAGCAGGCGTTCGTCGCGTCATCGAAGCCCGTCTCCAGCACATAGATCGCGCTCAAGCCACAGGAAGTACCCCGTCTGCTGGTACCACCACAAGTTTGGAGACAACGCTACAAAGTGCAACCGGCCATGCGACTTTAAATCGGGAAATGCCACAGGCAGTCGCTAATGGCGGCCGACGATTGCCTCACCGCGAAGGGTCGCCTGTTCGTCACTGACCGCAGATCGAAGGTCCAATTCTTGGTCGACACTGGAAGCGACCTCTGCGTCTTCCCCCGGTCTGCGCTTCGTGAACGTCGTGCAGAAACGAACTATCAGTTGTGTGCAGCAAATGGTTCCTCAATTAGTACATATGGTTATGTAAATTTAAATTTAAATATAGGCTTACGCCGTGATTTTACATGGAAATTTATAGTAGCTGATGTAACTAAAGCAATAATTGGAGTTGATTTTTTGTCCTATTTTAATTTAATAGTAGATGTACGCAATCAGCGCCTAATTGATAATACAACTAATGTATCTACTTTTGCTATTCTCGCATCGCCACTTGTAAACGTATCTAGTGTTAAGATCTTGACGAGTAGTGGTAAATATAATAACATTCTTTGTGAATTTCCAGAAATCGTTCGCCCCGCTGGTACACCACGCACTGCCAAGCACAACACTTTACACCACATACGCACAACACCAGGTCCACCCGTCACATCCTCTCCTCGCAGATTAGCCCCCGACAGATTAAAGATCAAGCTTGGCAGAGTTCGAAGCCATGCTAGCAAATGGAACAGCACGACCATCCGAAAGCCCGTGGTCGTCACCGCTTCACCTCGCTCCTAAGAAAGACAACGGTTGGCGTCCTTGTGGCGACTACCGTATGCTAAATGCGCGAACGATTCCCGACAAATACCCAATTAGGCATATTCACGACTTTGCTTACAATTTGTCAGGCTGTAAAATATTTTCGACGATTGACCTCGTTAAAGCATATAGCCAAATCCCGATTTGTGAAGCGGATATACCTAAGACGGCAATAACAACTCCATTCGGATTAATGAATTTCCGTTTATGACTTATGGCCTTCGTAATGCTGGCCAAACATTTCAACGTTTTGTCGATGAACTCACTCGTGGTTTAGATTTCGTTTTCCCCTATGTCGATGACTTTTTAGTCTTCTCTAGGACAGAGGCTGAACACGAAGACCATCTTCGACAACTTTTCTCTAGGCTACGTGACTATGGTATCCTCATAAATACCACCAAATGCGTTTTTGGAGCCTCAGACGTGAAATTTTTAGGTTACCATATATCGCAGGATGGTACAAAGCCGCTGGACAGCAAGGTACAGGTAATTAAGGATTTCCCAATACCTAAAACGGTACGTCAACTTCGACAATTTCTAGGCATGGTGAATTATTACCGGCGATTTTTAAATCGGCCGAAATACAAGCTCCTTTGAATGCCCTATTAGCTGGTTCCGTCAAAGCTGCGCATCCCATCAACATCGAAGGTGAGTCCCTAAGAGCGTTCAAAACTTGCATCGAAAGCCTTTGTAATGCTGCCTTGTTGGCTCACCCCAACCAGGATGCTAAGATAGCACTCGTCACAGATGCTTCTGACGTCGCGATCGGCGGAGCGTTGCAACAGCTCATCAATGGTAAGTGGCAACCACTAGCTTTCTTTTCTCGCAAGTTGAGTCCATCACAGAAGAAGTACTCGCCGTATGATCGAGAGCTCCTCGCGATATACGAAAGCATAAAATACTTTCGCTACTTCGTAGAAGCTACACACTTCACCATATTTACGGACCACAAACCGTTGTGTTACGCCTTTCACGATCGCAAGCGTAATTGCACACCACGGCAATATAGACATCTTGACTTTATAGCACAATTTACGACAGATATTCAGCACATCACTGGGTCAGAAAATGTCGTCGCTGACACACTGTCCCGAATAGAAGAACTGCAAGCGCCAGTTGATCTAGAGATATTAGGTAAGTCACAGGCTAACGACACTGAACTAGATCAGTATCTTCAGTCGCAATCGTCTCTATGACTGAAGAAGATGAAATTACCTGGAAGTCGAATCGAGCTGTACTGCGACGTAAGTACATCGACTCCCAGGCCATTCATCCCAGGTCCATTGCGAAAGCAAGTTTTCGACTCCTTACACTCCTTAAGCCACCCCGGTGCTAATGCAAGTGCTAAGCTAGTCGCTCAGCGTTTTGTTTGGCCACAAGTGCGCAAGGACTGTCGTGAGTGGTCCCGGGCATGTTTAAACTGTCAACGTGCCAAGGTGAACAGACACGTTTCTGCACCACTAGGTACTCATGACTTACCTACTGCACGTTTTAAATATGTCCATATAGATCTCATCGGACCATTACCACCTTCTCACGGTTATCGGTATTGTCTGACCGCCATCGACCGCTTCACGCGGTGGCCGGAGGTTGTCCCGATAACCGATATTACCGCAGAGACAGTGGTCAAAGCACTCATATCCGGCTGGATCTCACGATTCGGTTGTCCTACAGACATAGTAACTGACCGTGGTAAGCAGTTCGAATCAGCCCTATTTCATCACTTGTCCAAAATCATTGGATTCAAGCATAGAAAGACCACTGCTTACCATCCACAGTGCAACGGGCTGGTCGAACGATTTCACCGTCAGCTTAAGACGGCTATCGTTTGCCACGCAGACAGTAACTGGACCGAGTCGTTACCTTTGGTCTTACTTGGCATCAGGAGTGCATTCAAGGAGGACCTGCAGTCATCCTCAGCAGAGTTGTTGTATGGAGAAGTTTTGAGACTTCCGGGCGAGTTCTTTGGACATAGGGTTGATCCTCATACAACGGATATCACGGACCTCTCAGCTCGCCTACGGTCATTCGCTGAAAACTTACAGCCTGTCCCCACTTCTCATCACAATAAGCAAAAAGTCTTCGTTTACAAAGACCTGCAAACTTATAGCCACGTATTTCTTAGGGAAGACGCGTTACGAAGTTCCTTACAGCAGACTTATACTGGCCCACATGAGGTCATAGAACGAAAGGCAAAATCTTTCAAAATTCGTGTAAAAGGGAAGGAACTCATAGTCTCCATAGACAGACTTAAACCCGCCTACATACTGACTGACAGCTCTCACCAAACAGACAGTCCTAGACAAGATCATCCACCTCCAGTCAGGACAACACGTTCTGGCCGGAGAGTACATTTCCCCGACTTTTATCGTCCGTAGACACGGCCTCTGGAGGGGAGTGATGTAGGCGTAATATCAAAATATATATGTAAATATATTATATTTATTTATTACACGACGTATTTCATATATAAAATTATATTTAATATTTATTTACGTATATTACTCTATACAGTCACACTACACATTTACATATTCAACCTTGCGCTTCGGTACTGAATACTCTAGTCATACTTCGTGTACATTAACAGTCAAATATTATTAGTGTTTCTACGTCTATAAGTGTTTTATCTGTTTGATTTTTGTGTGGTGTAAGAGTTTGGGGGAAAAACATTCTTTCCCCAACAGAATCAGTCTTGGGCAGGGCCCTGGACGGGACTATGTCGGAAACCTCCGAGTTGTCGGACAGGAGAGGAGAGGCTCCGCGAAGAGTCTCTCCAACCTATCGACATGACAGAGGTAAGGCAGCTGCTAGTTCCAGTGGATTAGATTCCGCGGTTAACCCGAGGAAGAGGAAGGTCTCGCATCGTCCATCGTTGGCATCTGATACCGGAAGA